GGTGGCCCAGGCACTCGGTAGCAGGAAGGATCAGGCCTCTCAGATCTTGGCACTGGTGGCACCAGAGGGGCCCAATTCTTCCTTCTATGGAGTGTCCCAGTCTCTGCTACCTGGCGCAAGCCTCCTGAGCTGTGAGGAGAACAGCAAGCTGACATAAATCAATAAGGGATCTGGTCTAGAAGTTTGATAGGCCGGTTTAACTTAAATCGATTAAGTCTGATATCTCATTGATCCAGGTCTACCTTAGACAGGGATCTGCCATTTTTAAACCAATCTATGTGCCCTGACCTTGTTCTGTTATGGTTGTAGGGTTGTTTTTAAGTTGCTTATACTAGTTTATGTGTAATATGTTTGTACCTGGCCTAAGACTATAAATAATTTACTCTTTGAGTTATCACATGTATTCCAGAGTCAACACCACTGTTTTTAAATAAATGAGTTTAAGGGATCTAGAGAATTCAGTTTGAGTTTTGCTGCAATAAGGGCTTGCAGGACCAGTTCTTTTGGGTGTAAAAAATGAAAGAACAGAAATAGAGGAGTTAAATGGTTGCATGCAGCTCAGGTTTTTTTCCACTTTCCAGTCTGCACTGCCTTTCTGGCCATTTACACAAGCCAGAGGAAGTACTGTGGTGAGAAAGATCCCACAAGGAGCTAGAAAAGTCTATACTAAAAGGAAAGGTTTTACTCAGTTAACTAAAAATGACCCAGAGGAAGACAGGTAAATGTTATCTTTGTTCACAAGCTGGCTAAATCATGCAAGCTCACCAGTAACTAAATAATATTTCCTTTCATTGAAGTGTCTGGCTTGGGTTTGTTATGCTGTGCCATGCTACTGTAATTCTTTAACCTTCATTGACCTTTATTTCTTACTGTATGCATTCTGAGAGTCACGTATACACAGTGGTTTTAATAACTTTATTGACTATTCTAAGGCAAAGGGCACTCAGTAAGTCAAGGGATCAGGTTCTTGATTGTAAATACTACAGTTAAAGTTTATTGGCCTATCAATACTCCTAGAGAAGCTGCATTACATACCCAGTCCTTTGTCCATTGAAGTTAATGGTATAGTTCCAGTTCAATTACACCCAATTGACTGGGCCTAAGACCAGTCTTTCTAAACGAGTATTTAATGTGCAACCTTTATATTGTACAGTTTACAGTAAAAAGTTCTGTATAAAAAATTTAAGCTGTGATGCCTGCTGATATGGTGCCACCCCTTTCCTTTTGGATTAAGATATGCCACTGAAATCAGACAAATAGTCTTGCTAATGCTATGTAGAACAGGACAGTCACATATGACACTCCCATTAATGCATTCCTGAAATCACATTTGCCTCTTCACTACACTACCACATTGTTAACTCATAATCAGCATGATCCCTAAACCCAGATCTTTTTTCTGACATATATCCTTAGACAGATATTCACCAATTTGTATTTGTGCATTTTGTTTTTCTTGCCTAAGTGTAATAGTTTGCATTTTTATTATTAATCATATCTTATTGATTTCAAACCATTCCTCCTTTTTATCAAGACATACAAAAAACTAGAACTCTTGGTGCCAAAATGATACCTTTTATTAGACCAACTGGAAAATGGCAAGAAAATTGTCCTTTTCTGCAAGCTTTCGAGATCAAAGTCCCTTTGTCAGGCTCTGGGAAAAGTGTAGATGGTACAAGATGGTAAAAAGTCCCCATAGGTAGGAAATAAACTTCATTTTTGCACAGAAGGAGCTGAAGATGGAAGGCTGTCCCTCTGAGTCCATGAGAGTGTCTTTGTGAGCTGTGTTGAGTAGCTATCTCTTTGATGTGTTGAACAGGTAGAATTCCTTCCCTGGAGGTGTCAGATGGCAGGCAGGGAGGCAAAAAAACTTCCTTGTTGTTCTGCAGTGAAGTTTAGCAAGACATTTTAAGTTGTAATAACAGTATTTGAGCAGTCCAAAAGGCTGCCAGCTTGCTATCATCTACAAACAATACTTTCTAACTGTATTTCAAGTCCATCATCCAAGTTTTTAATGAAAATACTGAATAAAAGTGGTGTGACAGGTTCATGTCCCAGGAGTGGCTGTGAATCCCCTTGGTGGCCACACAATTCCTGCCCTGGCTCTAACTCTAGAGACCTCCTTCACTCACCCACCACACCTTGGGTGTTATTATTTACTATGAGGGAGGCAGCCTGAGGGTCTTAGAGTGGGCTTGCAGTTGTTCTTGTGCTGGGCTTCAGCCTTCTTGGCTTCCGCTCTTTTTGCTATTGCTGAACCCTCTAACTCTAATCTACTGACTGAACCAAACTTCTGGGTCCCCAGCTTCTTATCTCTCTGGCCTTCCAAACCCTTTGTCTATACCTTCTCTTAGGGTGCTGAGCCTTCCTGGGCTCTCTCTCTCTCTCTTTGCATCTATCTGTATCTGGGCCCCAGGCCCTGTCTTTGGCCTTCTCCAGGCTTCAGGCCCTGTGGCCCCTAAGTCTAAGTCTTGCCGTTCTTGGCAGTTTGGGATCATCCCTCTTGGGGTCTACAGAAACGCCCCTGTAGGTGTCCTCAGTGCACCCCATCAGACACTATAGGCTTGTCCCTTATGGGTAGGGCCCTGTGAAAATTGTGATTTCGCAAACTGTGGAAACCACAAAATTCAACCCACACCATGATTTTTAAGGGTCGTGAGCATAGATGGAGGAAGGCTGGGGCCAATGGGGCTTAGCACCCCCAAAATGCAGGGCAGAGGGTAGGGTCACAGGGTAGCCTGGGCATAGGCTCCAGGCAGCTGCAGCAGGGGAAGGGGGGGAGAAGGGGCATGCACAGACAGACACAGAGCCTGCATGCAGTCAGATGGTATGTGAAGTACTGCCCACCTCAGCAGGCAAGTTGAGGAAGGGGAAGGAGTATGGGGGAGGGAAGGGACATGGGGAGGTAGATCAAGGTCCCCACAGTGAGGGAGGGAGTGGGGCAGGAGGCAAGGGTGAATGGGGCCTTGGGGCAAGTGGTGGGACACTCAGAACCCAGGCAGCTCGTCCAGGGGCATGGGGGTGAGGGGTTTCCACTGCACACACCTCAGGAGAGGCCCAGGGGGCAGGGGGCTCCCTGGATGTGTGCATGGGGCACAGTGGAGTCAGGCTGCCACTGGGTGGGCTCTGCACCTTGGGAGTCAGCTCTGGGAGATGGCAGCAGCAGGCACGTCGCTCTGCATGCAGCAGCTGGTTCCTGGGGCAGTGGCAGCAGGGCACAGATCCCAGCCCGCAACAGCAGCCTGCTTCTGCTGCACCTGGCGCAAAAATCCAGGGGGCATATGCCCCCTGGGCTTCTCCTGAGGTGCATGCAGTGGTGGGAGCCCCCCTGTGCCCCTGGACAAGCTGCCCAGGCTCCGAGCATCCCACTGCCTGCCCCAGGACCCCATTCACCTTAGCCCCGGCCTCTGCCTCTACCCCACTCCTTCCCTCACTGTGGGGGCCTCGACCTGCCCCCCAACGCCCCTTCCCCTTTCCCAACTTACCTGCTGTGGCGGGCAGTGCTCCGCATACCATCAGGCTGCAATCCTGGCTGTGTGCAGGCACCGTGTCTGTCTGTATGTGCCCCTCCTCCCCGCTACAGCCACCCGGAGCCCATGCCTAAGCTGCCCTGCATCCCTACTGGCTGCCCCGCATTTGGGGTGAGGGGGGCAGGGGGCGGGCATGAAAGTTGTTTTCAGTGTACTTTTTAATATGCTTGTTTTACAGGGAGAAAGTGTTTTTTGTTGATTTTATCTGATTTTTAGGACTCTTGAGCTCATTGAATCTAGTCTTCCAGCCTTTAATGGAATGAGTAAGATGCATTAAAAATTCTACAGAGACTCCTGTTTTAAGTGCTTGTTGAGGCATGCTGCTGGAAGGTGCTTGATCCCTGGATGAAAGTGCAGGGGAATTACTGATGAGTTACACTGGCAGGTGGCCTTTGTTGCATCAAATGGGGATTAAAAAGGAGTCTTTCTCTACAGTAGAGGTTCTTCAGGGATAAGCTTAGAAACAGCCAGCTTAAGAGAGAAGTTTAGTCCAATGTTTATATTTCTACACACACATCCGCCCCAGAAGGAGAGTTTGTTTGGACTTCAGCTCATATCTGTATATTTTATTAGAAGAGTGGGAAGGCCTCTTGCTCACAAGATGTACAAATTGTATATAACATTTTTAAATAGTTGAATAAAAATCATCTCCTAATTCAATTGTACAGGCTTCATTTCTTTTGTATTGTGATGTAAAATCCTTCCAGATTTCCATTCTGTCTTTCAGGAAGACCTGAAGTTCTAGTGAGAACCAAACAGACTGCAGAACTTCTTTACAATATAACACCTCAGCCAAAAGTATGCAAACTACCTCCCACTATTTTCTCACCCTCTATGTTTCAGGCATGCTTTTTAAAAAAAATTAAATTTCTTCTGCAGTTGGAAAAGGTTGCTGTTGTTTTGTGATACCTGCCATCATAGGTATAACAAATTCCTGGTATAAAATAATGCAGTATTTTCTTGATGTGCCATCTATTAATGAATTCTAAATTACTGAAGTTTTCTGTACAATTAAATAAGTTAGGAAATTTGCAGGACAGTGACTAAGATGTTCTTGCACTGTTTCTTCAGACACACAAAAGCCAATTGTAAACTATTCCCTCACCACGTATCACACTGCAAAGTTTCTGATTTCTTTTTAAGAGCAGACTTTGTATATCAGCCGGCTGCCACTAACTTTAGCCATCAGCCACTATTGAGGCACGGTTTTATCTTTCACTAAAGGATTAGCCCATGCCATTCTCATCAGATATAGTCTTGCCCATCCATATATTTATCACCTTATTTTTAAATGTCTCTCCCCTGGTTATTACAACGGACATTATTGTTGTCCAAGGTGATGATGGGATGGTCTGTACAACTATGAAGACAATCTCCCAATAAGTTCTGGAAAAGATACACTGTTTGTGGTGGGTGCAGCTGAATCCTTTCTGTTCTCTTCTTTCGCCAGGAAGATATGAGTGGCTGGAGTGTTTGGTTCTATATATAGCTGGTTGATGTCAGCGGGATGCCAGTCTCTTTGAAGAGGATCAGCCCCCAGTTTATCTCGGTACTTGGTACCATGCAGACCCAAGCACAAGGATAGAAACCACCCAGGACCAGGCGGGTCATCCCCATTCATAACTAACTCCAGAAACTTCATCAAAAGGGTTGGGATTCACTTTTTTTCTGCACCACAAAGCCTAACAATAGGGTAAGTGTATTGTTTCCTGAAATATTTTGACACTGTTTGTCCTAACAAGCTGTCACAAAGAAGTCATTTATGTGACACCTTGTCTCAGAAATAAAATTAAATGGTAATTTTTATGTAGTGGGGATTCCACTTTCTATGCTTGCTTAGAGATGCTAAAGCAAAAGCTGCCAAGCATTTCAAGCTCTTAACAATTTTCCAGAATTTACTCATTTTTGAGAACATAAATCAAAGGTTTAACAAAAGACAGTATTTAAAAATCAATCATGGAGTTAAATTTAAAAATAAAACGCATAAAATGTAGAAGTGAGAAGGCCCAGGGCCCCACCATTAAGGTTATGCCATAGAGTTTGTGTAGACAACATACAGCACATTCTTTGGGACTTTGTATCTTTGGGTAAGAGAAGGTATCTCCTGTCATCTGCTTGCAAGGAGCAATTGCGACTATTAAAAAGGCAGTATTTCCAAATGAGAAATAATCATATTTACCCTCCAGTCTTTATGAAGTGATGAAAGTTGCCTGAATTGTACTGCTGGCTCAATAATGTAAACATTTTTTTTCCAGCAAGGAAAACCTCATCTGACAATCGCAATGTTATCACATTCTGCCATGGTTAAGGAGAGGAAACAACAAGCATCAGACATTATGGATGAAATACGCAGAAATGGTAGAGCTATACTATATACTTACTGTCCCTCCAGCCCTCACTAATATTTCTTTTTAATCATACAGTTTAACTTTTTTACAGCTTTGTCTCTGATGGGTGTTCTGCCATAAATAATATTGTGGAAGTATCATGCTGTCTATGGTAACTAATCCTTTTGTAGTTGTCTCTTTTCATTTGAAAGCTATTTTCAGATGAACAACTGTTGTGAAGGAATGAAGTAATCTAACAGCTGATGTACACTGTGCCAGGATAGCCTTTCAGAATATTATTTGGGGTTAATAACATGACTGGATTCTATTCTGCAAGGCAACCCATATATATGAAACATGCTTATCTGTCTATATCTTTTTCATGTTTTCCATTTCATTTTTATATAAACAATCAAAATATTTTTACCAATTGCTTATAATTCTCTTCCTTCCTCTCCTAGTTAGGTATTAAGATTAGTAACCAACCTAACCAGAACTTGTCAGTCCATTCTGATCTATAAGCACTGACTGATTTCTTAAAGCAGAAATTTTACTTTTATGTTACTAGTGAGGGGAATACAGACTGCTATGAAAGGTCTAGCATGATTTTCAAGAACGGGTGCCTTAAGTTAGCACCATACTGTGAGACCCAAAGGGACTCCTAATTTAGGAGTATAAATCCCTTTGATTTTCAATGGTACTGTGCTTTTTGAAAATAACTTAGGTGCTTTTGAAAATCTACTTCACAGACACTTAGTTAAGCACCTGAATAAGACACCTGATTTTCAGAAGCACTGACCAGTAGGGCTGTGCAAAGCTTTGGTCCCTGATTCGATTCAGTGGAGATTCGGCCCCATTTGGTAGTCAAATCTCCGAATCCGAACTGAATCAGAGGAACCTTTAATTTCTCTGAATCGAATCAGAACCATCCAAATCGATTTGGAGTTCGGAAAGATTTGGAGATTCAGACATAGACACAGCTTTAAATGTTTTTTCTACATACCTCTAGGTACCAGCTGGCTCGTGAACACTGCAAAGCTGGGGTGCATGGAGCGTCCCACAGAAGCACAGGGGGCTCCCCAGTATGCTCAGCAGTAGACCCAGAAGTGGACCAGAAGCACTTCTGGTACACTTCCGGATCTGCCGGGAAGTCCAAAGGGGCCACCCCCCCACCCCAACGGCTTGGCAACTGGTGCCTTCTGGGTCTGGAGGGGCACCTGGGGTCTCCCTGCAGCTGATCACTGAGCTGGAGGAGTGCAGGGGGGCCCCCAGCACGCTCCCCAGCGGACCCAGAAGTGGACTGGTCCACTTCCAGTCCACTTCTGGGTTTGCCACCGAGCATGTGGAAGGCCCCCCGCACTCCTGTGGGATGCTCCATGCGCTCCAGCATCGCAGCGTTCACAAGCTGCACTGGTACCTCAGGGTATGTAGAAAACACATTTAAAGCTGTATCTATGTCCAAATTGCTGATTTTCTGAATCAGCATTGAATCTACAGATTTGGATTCGGCCAAATTGAATCAGGGACAGTGATCTGAATCAACGAATCGAATCACTGTCCCTAATTTGTGGTGAATCTGAATCCAAATCAAATAGGGCCCACTTTGCACACCCCTACTGACCAGCCCATATCATATCATATCATATCATATCATATCATATCATATCAGTAGGAGTTGCTAAAATAATTTTAAATTCAAACCATTTCTTTTGGATTAAATATATAGCACTAGAATATACTTTTGAGAAATTTGCTCCTATATGTCTTGGGTTGAACCTTGTATGCATTTACTGATAAATCTGATTCACAGGAAGGTAGGATTGGGCACTTGCTATATGAGTTAAAAGGAATCTGTTAGTCTCAGTGCCTGTTCTTGCCTATTTTAATACATTCATGGGAATATTTCTATTGCCTCACACAGAAGAGATTCCAACTCTACAGGAAGAGCTGTGTAGAATTCAACTGCTTTTAATTTTTCTCAAAATTACTTGGGATATATACCTCTTAGACATCTCTATCACTTGTGGGTACTTTAAGCAACTTCCTTTCCCTCCCTTACATTTCCATTTTAAGCACACTTCTTTTACAAACTCTTCTAAAGTTGCTGTCCTCACTGACCTTGTTTACATTCCTTTGCTTTTGCAAACCCAAGGATTGTCTAGCTTGTAAGCTCTTCTGGGTAAAGTACAAGGCACTCTAATGGTGCAATACTACTACCACTAATAAGAATAATAATGAATTATTATTCACCATCCTGAAAATTTCACCCAACCCCCCTGAAAATTATTGGAGTTGATGAACAATGTGTACTGTTGTTGAGTACTTGCTTCATGCTTATCTATAATCTGTCCTGTTCTCTTTTATCTACTGCTATACACTACTAGATGTTCTGCAAAATTAGAATTTTTTGTGCTTATATGTACACTAACTGATTTGTGGTCACTGAAGGCTGGGCTGAGCCTTTAAACATACAATTTTTTAAAATTCTTCTTTGGATGTGTGGTACTTCAGAGGCTAAAAAAAGATTTCATAAAATGGAGGGAGTGATTCTAAAAGACTTTGAAATCCCCTGATGTTACTGAAGTGGCAAAAAGAAGAACTGAACACATAATTTGACACAGTTTATCTTGGCATTGTAATTATTTTTTTTGTATAATGGTCGTCAGTACATTAAGAAAAATGTCTCTGTTTCTGATCATGATGAATTATTCTGCTTAACATACAAAACTGAAAGGCCCTATTTTGCTTTCATTTTTGTTAGCCTGAGTATTATTTCTAGTGTGTAAAATAATGCGTATTCAAAATGCTTACTCTATGTTCTATCAAGATACCTCATTTAAAATGTTCCAGATACATATATATGGTGTTTGCTCAGAGCTAATTTTAATGGGAAACCCAAATATGGCCATGAAAAAAGCACCAGTGAGATACATTTTGCCCTTAGCTGTGTATGATTGTCTTTCTTTGCCCTCAGAGGATTCATAAAGAGTGAGGAGTTACTATATTTGAGGCCAAAATATGATATGCTTCCCTATAATATATGATTGGAATAGAGGTACTACATAGTTTGTGCTGCCTTTTCTGAAAAGAGACTCTGTTATACCATGTCGTTCCAGGTCAGTGATAGAATAAACATTTTCCTCAGTTTCATTTAGCCCCATAAATTCAGCCCTATTAAATGAATTAGGATTATTTGAGTTCAAGGTAACACAGTCTGAGCCAGAAGCAATAAAACAATGGGTTTTCTTAAAGTTTAGCTTGAATCATGTTTTGAGATGCATGTTCCTATATAAATGTTCACTTTGCAATTACCTGAGAAGCAATCTAAAACTTCAAATTTGTTGGGAAAATGGATTTCAATCTGGATTTAAACTCTCCACATTCATTAGGTCTGTGTGAAGCAGCGAGTATTCACTTCGGATTCGGCCAATTCGGGGGGCATTAATCAATTCAGCAATTCAAAATCGCTGTCCCAGTTCAATTCTGCTGAATCTGATTCAGAGATTTGGCTGCTGCCAAATCTCTGAATCAGCCAGGCCCATCCCCCGCCCACTCTTCCAGTCCAGCAATGGCTGCCCCGACTGCCCCAGCTCCCGGCACTTGTTTAAAAAAAAGTCCCGACTCAGCGGGTGCTGCTGGGTGAGGGGGCAATCCCCACTGCCCCACACTGCATGGGGGGCTCTGCATAAGCCCCCTGATCCCGTCCTGCTCCCTCATGGCTGTCCCGCTTGCCCCAGCTCCGGCCCTTTAAGAAAAAAAAAATCAAGAAAAATCCTGCCAGTGGGGGGAGATCCCCACTGCCCCTTGCCACATGGGGGGTGCTGCACAAGCCCCAAAAAGGCTCTGAAGGAGTGGTGAATCCTGGGGCTTTTCTGTTTTTTTTCCTTAAAGGGCCAGAGCTGGCCCAGGTGGGGCACCCATGGTGTGGCTGGGTGAGTGGGGGGGCATCGGGGGCTCATGCAGAGCTCCCCATGCAGTATGGGCAGTGGGGGGGGCAGCAGGGATTGCGCCCCAACCC